TTTGCACCTAAAATTCCAAAAACAGTTTTAGCTCCTACACACTAGAAATGATGATCATCTCAAACGTTAATTGTCTCATTAACGAATTGCAAGGCCCAGCTGTCAATATATATTTGCTGAGATGGAGGTTAAAAGAGGTGCACTCTGTGAGAAAATTAGTAACGCTCTTGATTATTGGCAGAATAATGGTACCCCCAAAGATGTCTGTGCCCTAATTCCCAGAACCTGTGACTATGTTACCTCCATGGAAAGAGACTTTGCAAATGTGATTAATGATATGGAGGTGGGAGATCATATGGGCAGGCCCAATATAATCACAAGGGGAAAGAAGGAGGCGGGAGTGTCCAAGCAGATGTGGAGGGGTAGAGGGAAGTGGAAGTCACGGAACAGTGGCAGCCTCTAGATACTGGGAACAGCAAGAAAATAAACCTTTCCCTGGTGCCTTCAGTGTGATTGCAGCTCTGCTGACGCCTTGATTTTAGCTCAGTGACACAGATTTCAGACTTCTGACCACCAGAAATGTTAGATAATAAATGAGTGTTGTCTGAAGTTACTAAGTTTTTGGCAATTGGTTATAATAGAAATAGGAAACTCAAGCAGTCTTGCTTCATTGGTACAAGATATATTATCAGTATTCATAGTGAGCTTTTTGAAAAAAGGCATTACTAAAATCTGCAATGCTCCTACACTTTGTAAAATCACTTATTCTTTCTTTCTTGGGCAAAGTGAAAAGATCTAGAAATGAAATAGCTCCATGCAAATCCTATAGTGGTCCTAAATAAGACACTTCTTTTTTTCATTTAAATTTGAAATTCTGTGCCCTGCATGATAGATAATAATGTATTTTTTTTTGAGTGAAAAATAAAACACTTCTTGTTTTCTGTCTTTTTTTTTTTTGAGACGTAGTTTCACTCTTCCCAGGTTGGAGTACAGTGGCAGGAACTAAGCTTACTGCAACCTCCGCCTCCCAGGTTCAAGCAATCTTCCTGCCTCAGCCTCCCGTGTAGCTAGTATTACAGGTGGGCACTACCATACCCAGCTAATTTTTGTGCTTTTGGTAGAGATGAGGTTTCGCCATAGTGGCCAGGTTGGTTTCGAACTCCTGACCTCTGGTGAGCTGCCCACCTTGGCCTTCCAAAGTGGTCGGATTACGGGCCTCAGCTACCATGCCCAGCCTATTTTCCATCTTTAAAATATAAAATTTTAACTATAGTCATGTTTCTGTGCATGGGATCTCCAGAACTTATTTTATCTTGCATAAATAACACTTTGTATCCTTTGACTAACACTCCCATTGTCCCCTCCCAGCCCCAGGCAAATGCCACTCTTCTCACTGCTTCTGTGTGCCGATTTTAGATTCTACATATAGGTGATGACATAAAGTATTTGTTTTTCTGTGTCTGGTTTAGTTCACTCAGTGCAGTTTATGCTATGTGTATGCTCTGTGTGTGTGTGTTCACATGTGTGTGAATGAAAATGCATGGTGATCAGAAATGTGACTATAGATAACAATAATGTATACTTGAAATTTGCTAAGAGGGTAGATCTTTAGAAATATACTAGGAGGTAATATTCTAATCACCATCAAAAGAAAAGAAAAGAAAATGGTACTATGTGAGATTATTGAGATATTAATTAGCTTGATTGTTGATGATTATTTCACAATATCAAAAAATCAGGTTGTTTACCTTAAATATATACACTTTTCATTTGTCAATTATACCTCAATAGAGCTAAAAAATGAAATTATTGTACCAATGATTTAAAGTCTCAATTTTACCTCAGAAGTCAGGTTGTTACTTGCACTTAAGTATCTACATGAAACAAAACAGAACAAACTGGTACAATATTTTTGAAAAAGTCACAACAAACTGCTTTGGCTTGTGCCCAGTTATATCAAAAGTTGTACTTATACCATGATACCTATTTATAATATAAATGTGTATGATTCTATTTTGGATCGGCATTATTTTGGCTAGATTATATGCAAAGCTTGTAAGCATTGTGCATTTTATTCTAAGAATGGCATGATGCCACTGGAAGTACATACTGAACAAACTATTCAGCTAAATTCCTCTGTACTGAATGAAAGGGCTAGAAGCCTGGGAACTTCACATGGGTTCTCTTGTGGATTCCACCAATGAAATGCCACATTTCATTCATTGAGGTGTTGCCTACAAAGCTTTAACTATTTATTGTCTGATCCTTCACTGAAAAAGCTTCTTGATCTCTGATTTAAACAATGAGTTCTTGGGAAAGAATTAGATAAACATGTCTGAAAACAGAACAGAGAGTCCTGAAACAAATCCAGGTATTTATGAGAAACTCAACTACTGACAGTTCAAACCAGTGGTGGGGAGAATGGCTATTACACTGAGTATTAAAACAACGTACTGACCATCGAAAAGAAGAAAACTAGAATCCTACATCATGAATCTACAACTAAAAAAAAGTATAAAAGAATTAGAATAAAATAGAGAACATTGTTAGAACGTTGCAGCAGGAAAGATCTTTGTTCTGTGACAGAAAAATTAAACACTTTGCTAGTATAAAAGGCAGATAAAAAGGTTTGCAAAAAAGTCATTGCACCATATATAATAGATAAATGAATAAGAGTTAAGGAGTTCCTACAAATCAGTTTTTAAAAAGTGGCAATGGGAAATGAATAGGCAATTTGCAAAGGAAAAAGCATCAATGCTCAAGCTTAGAATTGGGAAAATGCAAATGAAAACAACAAGACATCAACTTTTCATTCATCATACAGACACAGTGATAAAAAAACCCAGATGATAATAACCATTGGAAAAGAGATGTTAAAAACACTCTCTTGTCTTGTTTTTTTTTTGAGACAGGGTCTTGCTCTGTCACCCAGACTAGAGTGCAGTGGCATGATCATAGCTCACTGAAGCCTCGACCTCCTGGGCTTAAGTGATCCTCCCGCTTCAGCTTCCCAAGTACCTGAGACTACAGGCATGCCACCATGCCTGACTCATTTTTTCATGTTTTTGTTGAAACAGGGTCTCTCTAAGTTGCCCACGCTGGTCTTCAACTCCAGGCCTCAAGCAATCCTCGTGCCTTGATCTCTCAAAATGCTAGGATTATAGGTGTGGACCAACACACCTGGCCAAAAGTACTCTTGAAACACAGTCCAAAGTAACTGTGGCTTCTGATGCCCAGAGCCACAATTCCTACTTTTATTTATTTATTTATTTATTTATTTATTTATTTTTTGAGATGGAGTTTCGCTCTTGATACCTAGGCTGGAGTGCAATGGCGTGATCTCAGCTCACTGCAACCTCCACTTCCTGGGTTCAGGCAATTCTCCTGCCTCAGCCTCCTGAGTAGCCGGGATTACAGGCACGTGCCACCATGCCCAGCCAATTTTTTGTATTTTTAGTAGAGACCGGGTTTCACCATGTTGACCAGGATGGTCTCGATCTCTTGACCTCGTGATCCACCCGCCTTGGCCTCCCAAAGTGCTGGGATTACAGGCGTGAGCCACTGCACCCAGCCTACCACAATTCCTACTTAAGGTATCCTTATGCCAATAGCAGGCATACAACAAGGGATTTGTTCTAACAGTGTTTGTAATAACAACATGCCATACAGAATCTCAGTGTTCACTGAAAGGAATTTGATTAAATGAATCATTGCAAATTTATACTTCAAAATATTTTGCCGCCGTTTTGAAGAATGAAGAAAATCTCCATATATTCACTTGACAAGGTCTTCAGATACATTTTATTATGAGAACTAAAAATCAATTCTTAGAATGGAATTGATTTTTGTGATAATGGCAATGATCAATTCTTTCAATAATTCACATTAGAAAGTGGTGATATTAATTTATTAATTTATTTTTCTCTTTTGTTTTGTTTGAGACAGAATCTCCGTCTATCTCCCAGGCTGGAGTGCAATGGTACAATCTCGGCTCACTGCAACCTCTGCCTCTTGGGTTCAAGTGATTCACCTGACTCAGCCTCTCAAGTAACTGGGATTATAGGCACACAGCACTATGCCTGGCTAATTTTGTATTTTTAGTAGAGATGGGGTTTCACCATGTTGGCCAGGCCGGTCTTGAACTCCTGGCCTCAACTGAGTCACCTGCCTCGACCTCCCAAAGCATTGGGATTACAGATGTGAGCCACTGTGCCCAACCAGAAAGCTGTGATATTGATATTAGCAATGATACATATTGTGAAAAAAATCAGCTTTTGGAAAGAATACTTTTAGTAGTATACAACTTAGGAATTGAAAAAATTGTACATGTATATATGTACCTATAAAGCACAGGGAAAATGACTGAAATGGCACACACTTTAAACTCTTGATAGTAACCTCTGGGTAGGGAAATAATCTCTGCTTGGGGTGCCAGGGACATTGAGATTTTGGTCTCTTTCCATTTGTATAATTTGATCCTTTATAATGAGTATGTAGTATATGTCAGTTATTCAAATCAAAGAAAGACTATTAGACTCATGTATACAGTCATTTATTTTGTAGCCGATTTTTTGGTGTGCTTTCCTTGGAAAATATAAGATTATCTTATTTTAAGTCCTAGAAAATATCTTAAGCTTTAAAAAAGATATTCAGGGAAATTAAATACCACATGTCTTCAACTCTAAGACATTGATTTAAGATACATCATTAATTTAATAACAGCTTTTCAGAAAAATCCAGGACATACAATTTTATACATTACATTGAATATTTAAAATAATTATAAGATGCATTTCAACTTCACAAATGTTTTTTAGATAAAATGATAATTACAGTAAGTATCACATTTTGAAGAGAAGTGTAGGTAAGTAAGACTGGAGGCTTGATTCTCTACCTTTGATAAATGAATTCATATGTGCTTGCAAATTGTTAAGGAGTAGACTCAGGTGCCTCTGGCAGGAATATTTATAGAAGAAAAGACAACCAAGGGTAAACCCACTGCCCACTAGAAACGCCTGCATGAGTAAAGCATATTCCTCTTGAGGGATGCAAGATCTCACCTTATTTGGAAATGGAAATTTGGTTGGTTCCCCTTTGCCAGGTGCTTGAATAGCAGAAAGTGGTGGAAGCCAGGTCATCTCCTGAAGGATGGGATAAAAACAAATACGGTGATACAGACAGTATTAGTAATCAGCAGTATGTAAAGCAGCTGTACAAACAGGCCTCCATACGGCAGAAGGGTAAGAAATGTACAAAAGCTGAAAGCATTTCTTTTAAAAGATGTGAAATCCACTTTTATGATTTATTTTCCTAATTTTAAATTCTTGATTCCTTGGCTCTCCCCATGCTTCCTTTATACCTTAAAAAGGTCTGCAAGGCTGTCCTATTTTCACTTAATTTAAGGCCCTGAGTAAAGGGACAATCTAGTAGCAAAAGTTCTATGGAAAATGCCACACAAAGGGGACTTGGACTTGATCCCATAAAATTCATAGGCGGCTGTCTCTGAAGGAATGCATAAGGTACTTTTACTTTAGGTATCTTTATTGGAGGAGGTTTTTTTTTTTTTTTTGAGACGAAGTTTCGCTCTTGTTACCCAGGCTTGGAGTGCAATGGTGTGATCTTGGCTCACCGCAACCTCCGCCTCCTGGGTTCAGGCAATTCTCCTGCCTCAGCCTCCCGAGTAGCTGGGATTACAGGCACACGCCACCATGCCCAGCTAAGTTTTTGTATTTTTAGTAGAGACGGGGTTTCACCATGTTAACCAGGATGGTCTCGATCTCTTGACCTCATGATCCACCCGCCTCAGCCTCCCAAAGTGCTGGGATTACAGGCGTGATGGAGGTGTTATTTATACAATAAGAAATAAAGTATCAGTTCTCAATAAGGTCCACACATCACTTTGGTCTTCATAAAAATGTCATTCATGGAGACTGAAAAAACAAATCATGCCTATGAAATACAGAGAGAGAATGGTGTCATTTCTTATAACACAGTATTAAGAACACAGTGTGAGCTTAACATGGAATAATTTCTCATATACTTTTTGACACACACTTTTTCTAAGCCTTGGGAGATGGAGAGAGGGGTAGTTTTATTCACTTCCAATATTCACCTTCAGTTTCATTTCTGGAAGAGAGCTGCAATCAATAAATGATTATAGAATTATATTGATTTTTAATGACCAGAACGCCAACTTGGCATTTATGAATTGGATCTGAATTCCATTATTATTATTATTATTATTATTATTATTATTTGAAGATGAAGTCTCACTCTGTTGCCCAGGCTGGTGGACAAGTGGCATGATTTTGGCTCCCTGCAGCCTCTGCTGCCCAGGTTCAAGTGATTCTCTTGCCTCAAACTCCTGAGTAGCTGGGATTACAGGTGTGAGCCACCACGCCTGGCTATTATTGTATTTTTAGGAGAGACAGGGTTTCACCATGCTGGCCAGGGTGGTCTTAAACTCCTGACTTTGGGCAATCCACCTGCCTCAGCCTCCCAAAGTGCTGGGATTACAGGTGTGAGCCACTGAGCCCAGCTGAACCCTATTTCTTGATTTGCCTGCACTTCCAAACCTAAGCAAGCACAGAAGCAGTGGTTGACACATTTTCAGAAATGTGAGAGATTCTCACTCTTGAGCTGAGGACATTTCCTTACCTCCCTTTGGTGGGCGGGTGGGTGTTGAAAAGGGATTCCATCATGCTTTGGAATAAAAGGGCTCTTGGGAATGGTGGTGTGCCTTCTTTTCTTGAGTCATTCACCTTCCCCAGCACCTCAGATGGTGCAGAACCACATAGGAAGCCATGGGAGCGCGAGTGTGTTCAAAGCCATGACCCCATATCATCTCTTCCACGCCATGACACGTGACACAGGCACTAGGTGGGGTGCGCATATATGCATTCCAGGTGTCCCTTCTCCATTCTGCCGTTACCAACGCTCCCCCAGGAAAGCAAAGGCGGATCCAGCGACCCTTTAAAATGTCCCTCTCTCCTCCCATCTCTGCCCCGCAAGTATCTGCTGCTGCCTTGGTCTCCCTTTGAGGAGGCTGATAAGCAGGACTATCAAGTTTGTGTCCACAGTGGCATCTTTGTCCATGGAGTGAGGGAACTATTCGTCATTCTCAGAGCTGGGCCACCTTATCTAGGACCTGGTCAACTCTCACCCATATTGTTGCTACCTGATTAAGAAAGCCATGAAGACACGAGTGGGTTTTCTACACCTTGGCTCTCCCACAGGGCCATCCCTCCTCTACAAAGTTTCTGATTTTCCTCTTCCATTTCATTACTGGAGAGGATATGTGTTTTTGCTATAAGTGGCCTCAACTCTTTTGCAGAGAAATTACTAATCAATTACAAACACTTGAACCGTCTTTTCCCTCTTACGTTGACTCTCTGATGTGTCCCTGAGTCCATTCCACTGCTAATCAGCCACTCAATAGCTTTCTCCACAATCACTCTTTGGCTTACACAGTTCACACCGTATGATCCTCGGTGGCCAAAATTGCGAAGTACCAACTAATTACTCATGATTAAACATCAGACTTGCACATACCACCCTGGGATGTTTATGTTAACTCTACATACAGACTCCCTCTGTGTAACAGAATGTCTCACATTTGTGTATTTTGTCTCTGACTGTTACTAAAATCCAAAGAGATAAATTATTATTTCAGCATGTCCTCCAGCAACTCATGAATAAATAAAATGAAAAGTCCATGAAAAAATGAGTAACAGTACTTTCAAATGAACACTTCCTAGACAAACAGCTTCTTATAACTGACACTTTCAGGTTAAAATCTGTTTAATATACAGTTTGTCCAAGAGAGGAGCAACAGACAAACTTTGAGAGACCACTAAGTTGTGATTCTTAAGGGTAGAAACCATCCTCCTAATCTTTGTACCTTAATCGGGGTCCATCCCTGAGCACCCACTCATTCCCTGCATGAACATTTCCTGAAAGCTCACCATTGGTAGGCACTGTGACTGTGTCTTATGTACACAAAGGGCTCACTTCAGCATCTACTGAATTTGAAAGTTAGGGTATCAGTTCTGGCTATGTCTAGTATCAGTCTTCTCTAATTCAGCCGTGCTTGTAATCTTTCCATTTCTTTCGCTTCCTTCCTTCCCTCCAACTCACCTATCCATCCATCCAGTAACCACCCAACCTCACAAGCAATTGACAAAGAAGGCAGACGACATATTCTCTTAGCTTGCTGTCCTCATGCAAATACCCCTTCTCCTTTGAAGCTCTGGCCAGGTAGTTTTGAACTCTCACTAAAGATGAGATGCATCTTTCTCTGTCCACTCTAGGCATTTAAATAAGACTAATGACTCCCTCCAAAATTTTCTCCTGCCGTCCCTGCCTTCATGATATTTTCCTGTTGGCTTTCAAGGCAACTGGGCAATCTTGTGGGCACCCCCAGGCATTTCACTTCATCTTCTTGACATGTTCTTCTTTAGAGTCTATCTCTGCTTCCCTCACATGTTTGGCTTCACAACCCTGACTTTAACTCTGACCTTCAGACTTTGTCTTGAGGCATCGGAATCCTGGCTTTTTCCAGTCTACTCTGAGCCAGCTCATTCCAAGGGGTCTCCAAGCCCTATTTTTCATCAGGTAAAAAACTGGCATATTAAATTGCCCTTGAAATTCAACACCCAACACTAGCCACCTAGCAGACATCTTAGCTGGCTTCTCCTACACAAGTGAGAATTACTTGTAGGTCCATACACATCTGGATCAAGCCCTCATTCACATCTCCAATTTTGGATCAAGCTCTCACTCTGGCTTCTCTGGTTCTAGGCTTGGGATACTTAGGAAAAGGTAACTGTGCACAATGGTGGCAATACAGAAGTAGGACACTGTCTTCTTTAAACTTGGGGCTCCCTTTCCTTTTCCTTCAAGGCTCTCACCAGGTGGTTTTGAATCCTCACTAAAGATGAGCTGCATCTTTCTCTGTCTATTCCACCCCTTTAAATCAGCCTTATGACTCCCTCAAAAATTGCCTCCTGCCCTCCCTATCTTCACAATATCTTTCTGTTGGTTTTTAAACACAATTGGGCAATCTGGTGGTGGCTTGGGCAGTCCTTGCATTCATTCCTAGTCTGTTCCTTTTTCTGAGTTCCTCAGACATCCTTTCCACATTGGTGATTTTTCTCGAGCCTCACTTTGATCCTTGCTTTCTCACAACAGGTGACCTTGCCTCCTTATGGCACTGAATAAACAAAGGCTCTTAAGTGTAAATGTTTCCCAAGGACAGATCTATGGGTGTTGTACCTGACCCTGTTGCCTTCCCTCTGGTACGACTGGAAGAGGCATGAGTTCCAAGCTGATGGCTGCTTGGGGCCTCTGTCTGTCTGTTACTCTGTCCTTGGGGATCTAGTTCCATCAGTATCCCACTGTTATTATTCTAACATCAATCTTTCCTTCTCCACTTCCTTCTTCCCCCAAGACTGACAAATGATCTCAGGTCTTAGACCTTCCTGACCCTGTATTCCTCCTCCAGCTGCTCTTCATTTCTCTATTTTAATTGATAGCTAATATTCTCAAAAAAGTCTTTATATTTGCTGTTTTGACATCCTCATCTGCCATTTCTATTTTTGACTTATTAAGATTTCTTGTTGCAGATTATACACGAGTTCAGACAATATTGTGCATGTGTGTGTGTGTGTGGAAGCTTAAGATTAATGAAATGAATACCTGTAAACTCACGACCCACCTTCACATTTCTAAGAACTTATCAACCACTTTCAATATACATAACATTGCATAATTACAGCCCTTACATAAGCCCTCCGTTGCCAAGGTCATTAGGTTTCCCTGAATGCTCACTTCATCCTAACTCTCTTCTCCCCTGGCTCCCAAGCTGTCCTCCTGGCCCAGCTCTACTCTCGGAGATCTCATGCTCATTCTTTTTTTGCTGAAGCTTCTTTTCTCTCACTGTTCCTTGGGTGTTTTGTGTTCAGCCTTCCTCTCACTACCTTTTTTTCCCAGGCTGATCTCGCTATTGTGGATTTAAAAACCATCTAGCATGTTGGTGATGCCTAAATGCACATTGAGGTCTAATGTGCCCACTCTAGATGTCTCAACCTGGGTGTTCATGAGCGATTCAAACTCACCATGTTCAAAACTAAACTTCTATACC